TTATTTTTTAAAATTTTGGCTTTTCTTCATGAAAAGGAAGCTGATGTGTTTCCATTATTTTTTGTATACAGATGTGAGACGAGGTACGCGAGGTGCATCTTCTTTTAGACAGCAGGTTGATCCAAGGGGAGAACCACAGAGGTCATTTCGTTGTCTTATTCGGGGGCCTCGTAGAGATGTTCCTACACAGCAGCAGCTGCCTAGCTTGAGCCAACCTCCCGCACAACAACAGATTTCCAGTTTGATTCAGCTTCCCACACAGCTGCAACAGGAGCAACCCACTGTTACTCAGCCACCATTAGCCGATGACCAATTCATTGGTGATGATGCAACAATGGAGGAGGAGAATATAGAGTGTAATTTGGAGGCTGAGTTGGAGGCTGAGTATGATGTGCTTGATCCTAAGTTAGATGCTCAGTTGGAGGAGAAGCTATCACGTGCTGTCCCGAAGACAGGACGTGGCATGGATAAAGGAGATGACGCTCCTGCAGACTCGAGTTAAAGGAAAGTGCTTAGCCTTAATCGCCGAGGCACATTCAGCCATGAGAGGTTTGGGAGGACTGCCACAGTCATTTGGAAGTACTTGTATGATGAGCCAGTGCTTTTCTGGTCTAGCTGGCCTGAGGAAAAGAAGAGGGTTGCTTGGGAGAATTTTCAGGTATGAAAATTATAGAATAAAATGAAGTATTTTTAGAGAATTTATTTAGATGCTATCACCTTACTCTTATGGTATTTGAAATGTAAATGTACAAGGTATATTTTATATGATTTTTTATATTTTATTTATAATAGTGAAAAAAAATGACAATTTAAACAAAATTTTGCTATTTTTAAAGAAAAATCAAATAAATTATTAACATTTAATTTTTGTTTTCATTGCAGAGGACATATTATTGGGAAGAGGATGATGCTCGTGTGTATAAAGTCTGGAGATTACATTGTCAAAACCGTTTTCGAGACGAGCTTCATCGAGCTCGAAAGGTGTGGGTGAGGGAGAAGAAGTTGCCCGAGTTCATGCATAAGGATACCTTTAAAATTTTGTTGGCAAAATGGAGGAGTCCAAAATATATTGCACTCTAGGAAAGAGGTCGGCAAAATCAATCAAAGGGTGATCGTGTGACCCACACAACTGGATGCCTTTCTATTGGGATCTATGAGAATCGACTGGTTAGTAAGATATACTTATATAAAGTCTGGACATATAAATTTTTTTTTTACCATAAAATGGAAATGTTATTGATTTTATTGATATTTTAATAGGCAGTTAAAAGAGGAGAAGTTAGACTGACACCTTTAGAGTCGTACTTGTTGACTCACACGACTCGCCGACCTAATGCTCCAGAAGATGCCCCACCCGCTTGGATATGTCCACAGGCTGAGCAGACATATGTAAGAATC